AGCAAAACAGCAAGACTTATTTGACATCAAAACAAAAATTTAAAAAATGCTGTCTAATCACTCTTGTGGTACTTGTGTTTTATTAGATGCAGCACAACCGTTTTTCTGTGGCTTTATAGGTAATATTTTCACGTACACAATTTAGCAAAATCAGAAAATATTGTGTCTAATATATACCACAATATTACCTTTTATTATTGAATTGTTGTAAATAAATATCACATTTGCAACTGGTCAGTGTTCAAAAAATGCTGGGAAATCATTTCATGTAGCCCTACAAGAGTGATTACTGATAAACTGTCTGAAAAAAAGAAAGTAAAATTTTAGAGAAGAAAAAAATCACCCACTGACTTTCAAAGCTGCTATATAATAACGACTTTCTACTTCGATGACCTTGATAGAAATGTAGTGGAGTGAAAAGTACAATATTTGTCTTTCAAATGTAGTGAAGTTAAAGTTATAAGTTCCCAGAAAAAATAATACTCAAGTAAAGTACTGATACTCAAAAAGTGTACTTAAGTACAATACTCAAGTAAATGTACTTAGTTACTGTCCGCCTCAACTTACATTAGACTGTGTACATAAAATCTGTGATTTTCATATGCAAGGGATTGGCAGACATTGGCACACTGTTATCACTAGTAGACACCATTGTTCGCCTTGTCCATCATTTCATCGCAACATGCTAGGACCAGCTTGGACCAGCTAATGACCACCACACACGCTCAAAACCAGCTTGTTCAATAGCTATCATCTTTAACCAGGTATCCTGAATGTATTAACTAAATGTTACCTATGATATTAATGATTGCTCGATGACGTCTTATCTCAGAATGGATTTGATACTAAACAAGCTGCAACTCATTAGAAATCGTACCAACTAGATGCAGAATGCACAGTTCAATTTAGGAAATATCAGTAGTTGACATTGGTGACATGACTGATTAGAAATGACCAAGCAATGCTTTCATACAATGTTCAAAAGTCTTGCAATCCAGAGTTTTAGTCATTATTTCAATCGGTCAGTATAAGCCTCAAGTACAGATTAATCACTCATTAAATTACGTAAAATAATCGATCAAGCCTCTGTCCCAGGTTGCATTCAGATTAACCAGAAGTGTTATTAAATCTAGATGGAGATTATGTCATTGACGCAGTATATTATGCTTTTCACCATTATTAGCAGCCATGTACAGAAAGAAATTTCAAAGTCAAAAAGCCATGGAAACCAAAGTCTCTTTTTTATTGCCACTGAGACAAGTTACTTCCACATAAACTCAGGTATTTTAGCCTAGCAGGTGATGAAAGCCACTACACACGTTAATGAATCACTTGTATAATTGGAGATGAACTCAGCAACCAGCACTACTGCATACAAATACAGTCACATCAAGTTCTAAAGAATGCGCTTCTCATCTTCAAGGCTTCACTCGACATATACAGGTGCATCTCAATAGATTAGAATGTCATGGAAAAGTTCATTTATTTCAGTAATTCAACTCAAATTGTGAAACTCGTGTATTAAATAAATTCAATGCACACAGACTGAAGTAGTTTAAGTCTTTGGTTCTTTTAATTGTGATGATTTTGGCTCACATTTAACAAAAACCCACCAATTCACTATCTCAACCAATTAGATTACTTCATAAGACCAATAAAATAAAATTTTTAGTGAATTGTTGGCCTTCGGGAAAGTAGGTTCATTTACTGTACATGTACTCAATACTTGGTAGGGGCTCCTTTTGCTTTAATTACTGCCTCAATTCGGCGTGGCATGGAGGTGATCAGTTTGTGGCACTGCTGAGGTGGTATGGAAGCCCAACAACATCTAATTTATTGAGATGCACCTGTACGTTCACTGGGCCTCATTCATGAAAAATTCTTAAATATAGGAGTAAATTCTGAGCAATTTGTGCGTAAAACGGACCTTCCCGAAAACTCTCCTCCGAATTCACAAACACTTCCCAGGTTTCTTTGACAGTGGCCTTCAGCTCATCTGCATTTTTTGGTCTCTTGTTTCTCATTTTCCTCTTGACAATACCCCATAGATTCTCTATGGGGTTCAGGTCTGGTGAGTTTGCTGGCCAGTCAAGCACACCAACACCATGGTCATTTAACCAACTTTTGGTGCTTTTGGCAGTGTGGGCAGGTGCCAAATCCTGCTGGAAAATGAAATCAGCATCTTCAAAAAGCTGGTCAGCAGAAGGAAGCATGAAGTGCTCCAAAATTTCTTGGTAAACGGGTGCAGTGACGTTGGTTTTCAAAAAACACAATGGACCAACACCAGCAGATGACATTGCACCCCAAATCATCACAGACTGTGGAAACTTAACACTGGACTTCAAGCAACTTGGGCTATGAGCTTCTCCACCCTTCCTCCAGACTCTAGGACCTTGGTTTCCAAATGAAATACAAAACTTGCTCTCATCTGAAAAGAGGACTTTGGACCACTGGGCAACAGTCCAGTTCTTCTTTTCCTTAGCCCAGGTAAGATGCCTCTGATGTTGTCTGTGGTTCAGGAGTGGCTTAACAAGAGGAATACGACAACTGTAGCCAAATTCCTTGACACGTCTGTGTGTGGTGGCTCTTGATGCCTTGACCCCAGCCTCAGTCCATTCCTTGTGAAGTTCACTCAAATTCTTGAATTGATTTTGCTTGACAATCCTCATAAGGCTGCTGTTCTCTCGGTTGGTTGTGCATCTTTTTCTTCTACACTTTTTCCTTCCACTCAACTTTGTTAACATGCTTGGATACAGCACTCTGTGAACAGCCAGCTTCTTTGGCAATGCATGTTTGTGGCTTACCCTCCTTGTGAAGGGTGTCAATGATTGTCTTCTGGACAACTGTCAGATCAGCAGTCTTCCCCATGATTGTGTAGCCTAGTGAACCAAACTGAGAGACCATTTTGAAGGCTCAGGAAACCTTTGCAGGTGTTTTGAGTTGATTAGCTGATTGGCATGTCACCATATTCTAATTTGTTGAGATAGTGAATTGGTGGGCTTTTGTTAAATGTGAGCCAAAATCATCACAATTAAAAGAACCAAAGACTTAAACTACTTCAGTCTGTGTCTATTGAATTTATTTAATAGACGAGTTTCACAATTTGAGTTGAATTACTGAAATAAATTAACTTTTCCACAATATTCACAACATCTAATTTATTGAGATGCACCTGTACGTTCACTGGGCCTCATTCATGAAAAATTCTTAAATATAGGAGTAAATTCTGAGCAATTTGTGCGTAAAACGGACCTTCCCGAAAACTCTCCTCCGAATTCACAAACACTTCTTACACATCAGATTTGATCATTAAACATGTGTATGTTAATGAATTCCAATCATTCGTAAATAGGGCGCTCGTGCATGCTCATTCACAATTAGCATAATCCCCGCCTATGAATTACAGCTAGGTAAATTGCATGTCCAGGAACGCAGTGGAATATTCTGGTCTACTTTCTCAAGTTTGGCTCCAGTATATTGCATAAATGCAAAAAACACTAATAGGCCCTATGCCTAACAATACATATTCAATAACGTGTGTCCACCAAAGCGTTTTTAGCCATCTGAAAAACTGTCAGGCACTCTTCTTAAAACGGCCACATCAAAAAATATTTTAACAGTAATTTAAATAAAATGATTTGAATTCGATTTAAAGTTAGTCAAATAAAATAATTAACAACAACAACAACAAAAAGATTATTTTAGCCATTTAAAATAGAAATTTCTCACCATTTACCAGGCTGCCGTGTTGAATTTACATCCACCTGTACAGGCCTGCGTAATGCATGTGCCTCCTGACGTAAGCACGCTGGCACGCTATATGAGAAGTCCTGCGTTTAAACTATGTGTATGTGTGCATGCTAAAAGAATCGCTTGGACATCAATACATCAAAAAATATTTTAACAGTAATTTAAATAAAAACCTTTTCGTTGTATTGCGATGTTCATCAAAGTGAAACATCATCAACAAACAAAACAGAACAAAATGTAAGACGGAGACTCGGTTCTGTCCATCAGTTGCTGATTGGATGGAAACAGATTTATACGCTCTTGCAGTAAACAGTAATTTTCAATAGGTATTTACATGTATTCAAATTGATAACAGACTATATAAACTTTCCAGAAAAGGTTTCTTGTCTAAATAGGCTACTTGCATCGAATTCTGTCCTTCTCGAACTTTTGTGCATTTACAGTACCGTACAACACACGCTCAGCCAACAGAATGGCCCATTTTAGGAGTGGTTGAGAAAATATTGCATGATTTATCATCCAGAATGAGTTTTTGAAATGTTCTAAAGTACCTGTATGTAGACTCTAATTTTTAATTGGTCATTAATTTGTACCCAACCCGTAACTGCTTATTTGCTCTCGAAACACAAGGAACATCTATCCATTAAATCTTTAATGATGCATGAGACAAGCATAATGATGGTTCATCTGATATTTGAGGGATCTATTTAAACCCAATTGTTTTCCAATTAGACAGCTTTTCTTTTCATTTTCAAATTACCAACCTGTTAATTGCCTTCACATTGCCTCTCCAATTTACAGAGAAACTCTAAATATGGAAAAATAGGTTATTGGCAGTGGGAATTACTTGAGGATTCTTCAGATGTCTTTCTACGCATGGCTAAACTCTATTTCTAAACCTCTACATGTTTGATAAAAACTCTAAAGAATGAGCTTTCCCCTATGAAGAACAGCATCAAATAACTTTTTCTTATCTCTCTGTTCCAGGTAGCAAGTTTCAAAGAAAAACTATCAGTATAATGATCGGTGTGATCTGGCTGTATTCTCTGCTCTGGGCATTGTTTCCTTTTCTGGGATGGGGAGGATATGGGCCGGAACCCTACGGTTTGGCCTGCTCTGTGGACTGGACCGGGTACCAGCACTCCTTAAATGGCTCTTCGTTCATTATGGCTTTGGCCATCCTGTGCACCCTGATCCCATGTGCGGTCATCCTGTTCTCCTACACTGGCATCGCCTGGAAGCTCCACAAGGCCTATCAGTCCATCCAGACCAATGATAACCTTCCCAACTCTGGGGCCGTTGAGAGGAAAGTCACCCTGGTAAGGGATATCCGAAATTGCACACAAAAATGTTAAGAGCTTTCTTGAAATTGCCAGGCTCCAATCTGACTGGCCAGCTTCACACAATTTCCGAGCTCTGGGATGTAATGTACAAGCTTTTATAAGACCACTGGAAAATAAAGTCAAGTTTGCAATGATATAAGGTATCAGGGCTGGACTGGGACAAAAAATCGGCCCTGGCATTTTTTGGTCCAGGCGGCCCACCACCACTTCGATATATACAGTAGCTTGGAGTCAGTGTATATATATATATATATATATATATACACTGACTCCAAGCTACTGTATATATCGAAGTGGTGGTGGGCCGCCTGGACCAAAAAATGCCAGGGCCGATTTTTTGTCCCAGTCCAGCCCTGATACCTTATATCATTGCAAACTTGACTTTATTTTCCAGTGGTCTTATAAAAGCTTGTACATTACATCCCAGAGCTCGGAAATTGTGTGAAGCTGGCCAGTCAGATTGGAGCCTGGCAATTTCAAGAAAGCTCTTAACATTTTTGTGTGCAATTTCGGATATCCCTTACCAGGGTGACTTTCCTCTCAACGGCCCCAGAGTTGGGAAGGTTATCATTGGTCTGGATGGACTGATAGGCCTTGTGGAGCTTCCAGGCGATGCCAGTGAGCAAAATACTTCATAGCTCCGTCTATAGCGCATTGTGGTTGGATGTTTACACTGTCAATACAGGAGACAAACCAATGGGCCACTGGCTGATCGCTATCCGTGCGTGAAGGTCCTCGGCAAAAAAACTACATTCTGTCGGCCCCTTAAATGCGTCTGCCCGAATACTAATCCAGCCCTGGGTATCATTCATCTCCATAGCACAAATGGTGTGGGACAAGTTACGCATCAAAATTTAAAGGGTTTGTTCAAATTTCTAACACCAATTATGCTCACATTTACCGTTTTTTGTCAAAATCTAGTCATTTAAATAGGAAACCATACAATCTGTTAAATCTACGTAGGGGCAAAATTCTGCAAGTTGGTCACAGATTTGCCATAATGGCCAAGACTTAACAGAAAACTACTTGGTTTTAAAATGTGAGCTGTTGACAATAGACAATAGACATTTTTGTCAGCGAAATTTAGTCAAAATAGCCTTAATATTACCTTTAGTGAGCATAGCTATCAAATATTTGATTTCTGAAGTTTTCAGATTTTCAAATTTCCTTCTAGTTGACAGTATGTACACTAAAATTATGGCTAGGGTTTTTAAAAATTTGGACAAGTTTGATGTTTCTCAACCAGCTTTGTATTATTACAGTGTCGTGGTATATGTAAATGACCATTTGTATTTTTTCTCCAGCTAACATGGAGAAAGACAAAACAAAACTGGTTGAAAATCAGCAAATTTGGCTTTTAAGTTTTTAACAACATGCAGGGTCACAGTACGTGCAAACCCTGGAGCGTTCACACATCTGCAGGAAGCTTAACAGTATTTCCTGCTACAGTGACACACCCCAGCTCCACCTTCTGCCCACAACAGTGTTTTTTCTTTTTCTTTTGTTTTCTCAGTTGATTTCAGGTCTACATTTTTTTTTTTAAGTTTTTTTTCTATTCGATGCCCAGATTATAGAAGGGAGTGAAATGGGTAAAGGTCAAGCTCCATCCAGTCCTTAAAGGTCACTAATGAATGTAAAGGATTTCCAAGAAATAGCCTTGTCATTTTCCAGGAATTTGCATCTAAAGCTTCATAGTGTATTGTCGGGTCTTTCCCTCCTGGAGCTAAGATCAAAATGGTAATCAGGTATTTCTGCAATCTTTTCACTGGATCTGAATCTTAAGCACAGCCTTTGTTGTTCATAAACCTTAATTAGTAAATGGTTCATGTAGAGCATCACTTTAAATTAATGTATTAGTGCCCTTTCCCCCAGACTACAACAGCAGTAGCGTGTCCAACATGAATCACTTTTAAAGGAATAGTTCAGTCAAAAACGTACTCACCCTCAGGCCATCTAAGATGTAGATGAGTTTGTTTCTTCATCATAACAGATTTTAATAAATAAAGCATTATATCACTTGCTCACCAGTGGATCCTCTGCAGTGAATGGGTGCCGTCAGAATGAGAGTTCAAACTGCTGTTAAAAACATCACAATCATCCACAAGCAATCCACACAACAGTGATACTGTGGGTATAGAGGACTCACATTTTACAAGTTTGAAGACAGCTTTTCACTTCACAAGATATTAATTGATGGACTGGAGTGATGTGGATTTTTTTGTGGATTACTGTGATGTTTTTATCAGCTGTTTGGTCTTTCATTTTGACGGCACCCATTTTTATTCTGTTCAAATGAAGAAATAATCTCATCTACATCTTAGATGCAAATTCCTTTAACTGCTTTGTGCTTTCAGTTTTTTCTTGTGTGTTTCAGATGGGCATCCTGATCAGTGCCGGCTTTATTGTATCCTGGACGCCCTACGTGTTCATCAGTCTCTGGACCATGTTTAACTCTGATGGCAAAGACAGTGTGGCGCCCATTGTCAGCTTGCTACCCTGCCTCTTTGCAAAATGCTCAACGGTGTACAACCCCTTAGTCTACTATGTTTTCCGCAAATCTTTCCGCAGAGAGCTTCGGCAAATCCGGATGTATTGTTGCTGGGATGCTGTGAGCAAAATGACACTCTGTATAGGAACAGAAAGCTCAGAGGAAACTAGCAGGGCACAAGAGACAGCAGAGTGAACACACACTAAATAAAAAGAAAAAGGTTGCCGGATGGTTTGCAATATGGAACCGCTTGGACTCGGTGTGCTATGGCATTTTATAAGAGCATCAAGTCTGTGTCTGCAGCAGCCTACAGTAGTGCACTACTGCATGAACATGGGACACGGAATAAAGTAATTAGCAGAGGAAATTTTTGGAAACATTTCATAAAGATTCATATTTTGATGCCAGTGAAACAAGCAGCACTTTAGCTTCAGATATTCACTGTCCCAGTCAAATGCTGCCTGTTTGAACAATGTCTTATTCTTTTCTCCTTTTACCTTATCTTTTACTGCTGCCTAACCTTTTAGCTTTCGGCAGATTATTGTGAGATCAGAGCTATTGTAATCTTTATAAAAGATAAATGCTTTATAAGAAGATAGAATGGTTGTTCGATTGATCAATCGCAAGGAAGATTTTTTTGTGTGTTTCTTTCAGTTTTCCATTGAACCTTGTTTTTCATTAAAGGGATAGTTCACCCAAAAATGAAAATTACCCCATGATTTACTCACCTTCAAGCCATCCTAGGTGTAAATGACATTCTTCTTTCAGACGTATACAATCGGAGTCATATTAAAAAAAACATCCTGGCTCTTCCAAGGTTTATAATCCAAAAAAGTCCAAAAGTCCAAAATATTTAACCAATCCACACCGGTCACGAATTAGTAGTACAAAACAATAATTTGTAAAGAAAAATGTCAGAGGATTTCAATATAAGCCAAGAGGACACTGGTTTTCCTTTGCTGTAAACAGAACTTGTTTCTCGCGAGACTAGCATATTCTCACCGGAATTTTCATTTTTGGGTTAACTAACCCTTTAAAATCATTTTTCACACTGACTGTTTCTTGTATTTTCCTCCTGCGTTCTTTATTCTGCAATAATTGTTGTGAATCTTTCTTTAATAGTACTACTTATGCACATGTAATGCATCCAAAGCTGTAATAACCAGTGAAAGGGGCTGATCATCAGATGAGGTACACAGATTGAAAGAAGGATCCTGTTAATGGCTGTTAATGCATGACTCCTTCAAGACAAACACCCCATTGAGACTTTGATCAAAAAGTCACGGTCATATGTCAAGCTATAGGGCACAGATGCTAAACTTGTTGTTAGACAGAATACTTCAAAAACTAATAAAGCCGCATTAGGTGTTCCTTCAACTACAGTATGATCACTTTTAATACAGGCTTGGAAACATTTAGTCATTTCATTATTTGTGCTACTTTGCAATTGCCTTTTATGTACATGTATGTTATTGTTTTAGTACCACACAGTCACAAATATTAAAAATAAAATCACATTTAAAAAAGATGACATTTTTAAAAAAAAAATTTTGGTCGTTGGCTCTTCCCCAACCATAACTATTTAAAAAACCACTGCAGAGTAACTCTCTGTGGGATTTCTGAGTTGTCGGCAGGAGTGTTTTATTGAATTAGGGAGCAGATCAAAGTGAAGAGGGCTGACCAGGACACATCCCAGCAGCTTTCCATTCCCATCCTTACTTTACTATCCTCAGAGAAGCACAAATGGACGTTGGACGTAGGTTAATGTCTGGACATATAATTTTGCTCAGTTTCCTCAAAGTGTAAAGCGTCTCTGATGGCATGCTATGTCAAAGCAATAATTGGCTTGAAGGGCTGCGTTTCTTCGCTAAGGAACAAACTGTGACGTCATCAGTAAGCAGAAAGAAATCAGTTTGTTCATGTGAACAAGTGTGTAATTTCTCACCAATCAGAATTACAGGAATAATTGTTGAGCCATTTATACTGAGTGCAACCATTACAGCACATGCTCCCATCCACATTGTATGCATACAGTGATAAATACAGCATAGCCAATTTGCATTGGCAATAATGCTAATAACATTCATCTGAGCCCCGTGAAACTTTCAGACCTTTAAATCACTTTCTTGGAGGGAAAGGTGACAGATCCATGATCTAATAGGATTTCCCAGAGAGCTTCATCACAAGGAAAGGCACCAGCCATTGAGTGCTTCAGTGGTTTACTCCTGATCTGATTACTCAAACCACAGTTGGAACCAAACTAACACATTAAAGGGTTAATTCACCCAAAAAAATAAAAATTCTGTCAATAATTACTCACCCTCATGTCGTTTGAAACCCGTAAAACCTTTGTTCATCTTCAGAACACAAATCAAGATATTTTTGATAAAATCCAGCAGCTTTCTAAACCTGCATAGACAGTAAGGGTCCTACCATGATCAAGGTCCAGAAACGTAGTAAGGACATCATCAAAATGGTCCATGTGACATCAGTGGTTTAACCGTAATTTTATGAAGCTACGAGAATACTTTTTGTGCGCAAAGAAAACAAAACAACAACTTTATTCAGCGATTTCTTCTCTTTCTGGACAGTCCTCCGCCATTATCGACACATGCGACACAATATCGACACGTGGTGCTGCTGACGTAGAACACGCATGCACTGCACCTTGTTCACCAGATGAGGAAAGCAATGCGCATACGTCAATAATGGCGGAGGACTGTCCCGGAAGAGAAGAAATCGTTGAATAAAGTCATTATTTTTGTTTTCTTTGCACACAAAAAGTATTTTCGTAGCCTCATAAAATTACGCTTGATCCACTGAAATCACATGGACCATTTTAATGATATCCTTACTAAGTTTCTGTGCCTTGATCGTGGTAGGACCCTTGCTGTCCATGGAGGGAATTTGTGTTCCAAAGATGAACGAAGGTCTTAAGGTTTTGGATTGACATTAGGGTGGATTATCCATGGATGAACTATCCCTTTAAGTGATTAGTCAAATATAGTCAAGGGTGGTCATTTCTATAACAACAACAACAAATTAAATGAAGCCTGGATCAAATTTGAATTGATGACATCTGCCCCCTTATAGGGATAGTTCACCCAAAAACGAAAATTCTGTCTCAAGATGTTCCAAACCTTGAGCACAAAAGAAGATATTTTGAAGATTGTTGGTAACCAAACAGTTACCGGTGGCCATTAAAGAGATAGTTCACTCAAAAATGAAAATTCTGTCATTAATTACTCACCCTCATGTCGTTTCAAACCCGTAAGACCTTCATTCATCTTCGGAACACAAATTAAGATATTTTTGATGGAATCTGAGAGCTGTCTGACCCTGCATAGACAGCAACGCAACTGAAATGTTACAAGAGAAGTTCAGAAATGTAGCAAGGAGGTAAAATAATCCATGTGACATCAGGGGTTAAGCCGCAATTATACAAAGCTACGAGAATACTTTTTGTGTGCAAAAGAAAAAAATAACGATTTTATTCAACAATTAGTCTCCTCTGCATCACCCTGTAGAGCCATTTTGGAGAATATCCGCTGGACGTAAACAACGTATGCTGTTCTGTGTCAGCTGCGTTACGCCGGATCTGTTTCCTATGTTGTTTTGATTTGATCTGAACGAAAACAGCGTATCCATGTGACACAGAACAGCATATGCTGTTTACGTCCAGCGGATATTCTCCAAAATGGCGCTACAGGGTGACGCCGAGGAGATGAATTGTTGAATAAAGTCGTTATTTTTTTCTTTTGCGCACAAAAAGTATTCTCGTAGCTTCATAAAATTACGGTTGAACCCCTGATGTCACATGGATTATTTTACAGATCTCCTTGCTATGTTTCTGGACTTGGGAACATTTCAGTTGTGTTGCTGTCTATGCAGGGTCTGACAGCTCTCAGATTCCATCAAAAATATTTTAATTTGTGTTCTGAAGATGAAGGAAGGTCTTATGGGTTTGAAACGACATGAGGGTGAGTAATTAATGACAGAATTTTCATTTTTGGGTGAACTAACCCTTTAACTTCCATAGTATTTTCCCATACTATATTCCTAACTATTCCTTTAAATTGAATTCCAGGGGCTTTTTTATAGATCTTATGCGTCATAGAAACAAATGCGCAGCCATCTTTAGATTTTTGTCTCTGAACTCCTGTTTTTGCATGGCTACAGCTATATCACTGTTAAAGAGTAATTAACAAGTGAAGTGGATTTACTTAATGAAATAACCAAAGATATAATGAGCAATTGTAATGTTCAAAGCAGATGTCATAACAAATGTCAGTAGATTGTATTCTTACGACTTTACCTTCACCCTGAAGAAATACAAACGGAGGACAGAAAACAACAAGCACAGCGCTAAAAAGGTGCGAAGCTACATAAGCTCCATAAGGGGCGACGTTTCTAGTCTTTTTATGCATGCACCCCCATTCATGTAAATTCTTAAATGTATTAATTTAATGCATTTATAATAACAAGAGACTATAAAACTGACTAAAATGACATATGCAGCATATGTCCACGCCTATTTTCAACTTTTTATTTTTTATTTTTAAAAGTTTTCCAAATTACCACACATAAACAGATATGTTGCATACTTGCATAACACCAGATGTAAGATGCTAAATCCAGTTAATTAGTAAGCTACTGTTTCCACTAATGAATTCAGAGTTAAGAGTTATGAATAATTCAAAGTTATTGATCAAAAGTAAATGAGTCATGCAAATGTGTTATGAAGGAAAAACTAAAATAATAATATGCAAAGGAGATTTTTAGATGTCCTTTGAGGAGGTAGTGTCCACAGCAATAGGACTGCATAAGTGAAGACACAGAAAGGTTGAAATCCATCAACGCATACAACTGGTAGCCTACAGAAATGAGAAGTGTAATTGAAGAAAAAGTTCACCCCAAAATTTTTAATTTGCAGAAATTTCCTCACCCTTAGGCCATCCAAGATGTAAAAGAGTTTGTTTCTTCATCTGACCAGATTTGGAGAAATTTAGCATTACATCAATTGCTCCCCAATGAACCCTCTACAGTGAATGGGTGCCGTCAGAATGAAAGGCCAAACTGACAAAAACATCACAATAATCCACAAGGAATCCACACTACTCCAGTCGATCAATGAACATCTTGTGAAAAGCTGCATATTTGTAAGAAGCCAGTTTATCATGAAGATGTTTTTCAAACCATTGCTTCCAGTTAAAATACAAGTCCATAATCCATAATGTTGCATAATATTGCTGTTGTGTTTGTAATAAACAAATCCATCATCAGAAATCAGTTTCATTCAGATAGCACCCATTCACTGCAGAGGGTCCACTGGTGAGCAAGTGTAATGTTGTAGATGTAATGTTAAATGTCTTCAAATCTGTTCTGAACATACAAACTCATCTACATCTTGGATGGCCTGAGGGTGAGTATTTTTTCAGAAAGTTAAATTTTTGAGCGAAGTATTCCGTTAACCACAGTACACCCACAGGTCTCTGCTACACAAGAGCCAGCAAAAGAAATAAACATGAGATTGCAAATAAAAAACATAGCTTTAATTGTGAACTGTGCTCAAAATTTTCCTCAAAGCATTGTGCTGTTATTGCATAATTTGTGTCATTCCTGCTGTGCACACAAACCAAATGTGCTGAAACTCTCAGATATCTCAATCTCAGAATAACATATAATTGCCTTGGTGCCCTATACTTTAAATGGCTCCAGAGTTGATTATTCATTTTTTACTTTAGGATGAAAGTCCCAGTTTGTTTAATTAAATGTAAAAAAAAAAACTTCGAAAAAAAAAAATTTGTAGCTTGCTAATTGTATTTGATTTAATTGCCCAAATGCAAAGAAGAATCAACTACTTATTTATTTCTGTGTTTTCTGTAATCAAGTGTGTTTTGTGAGGATGCATGATTGCAATTTATGGCTATTGTACAGTGACAGTAATGCACTTGTATGAGATATGACTTTGATTCTCCAAAACAAACAGAATAACAGTAGTTATAGACCTCTCTCTCTCTCTCTCTCCCTCTATATATATATATATATATATATATATAATTATGTATATATAATTGTTTTATTTTAATTTAAATAAAACATTGTAAATAAACCACAGCAATATTTTGTTCTCCTTTATTATTTTTCCAGTTGCACTCAAAAAATATAAAAATCTATCTATCTATCTATCCATCCATCCATCCATCCATCATCTATCCATCCATCCATCCCTCCATCCCTCCATCCATCCATCCATCCACCCACCCACCCATCCATCCATCCACCCATCCATCCATCCATCCATCCATCTATCTATCTATCTATCTATCTATCTATCTATCCTTACGCGGGACTTAAGTGTGGTCCTCCTCCTTTTGAGGACTTTAATGAAGAGGACCCTTGTAGAGATGTAGTATCAGACGCTGGATTGAGGGCGTTCAGTGAGCACCAGTAACCTCTGGCGAGTTCTTCTGTTATTGAGCAAAAACAGCGGCATCGCTTCATTTTCTCGGTATGTTGTTGAGGTGGGGGCTTCATTTAATCGCGTTCTTTATCTCTGTTGGACATCAGATGTTTCTGACACCGGACAGCAGTGTGGATCGTCTAGCTATAGCTTCTTGTTTCAGTGGAATTTCGCAGCGCATATATTTTCTGTAACTTTTTCCAAATCGCACCGATCCATGTCGAGCGCGATTCTATCCGGCAATTAACATCTCGTCCCGCTGAAGAACACATCTCACTTGTTCACATGGATATTTATTCCTCTAAACTATCACCTGCTGTGGATTATGGAGTTGGTGCGTTCCTGCTGCTCATCGGTAAGATTGCGTTACTGGATCTCCAACTTTTTTGGTAACCGTTTCTGGCGCGTACTAGTGAGTCTGTGTGTGTCCAGACGGATTAATTAAACTTCTTACCTAATGACTCAAAAGGGGTAGTTATTCTGAAAACGCAGTGTTTGGTACGTTTTATTTAGGAGAAACCGGGGCTATTAATTTACACCAATAAAACAATTTTTGTGGGTTAAATCAGGTAGAAATAGTTCTTTAAGGTAATAATAGCAGGTTACCACTTTTTACAGTGTAAACCTCCAAAATTATCCTTTTGGGGTATGCATGTAAACAACCAAACCAACAAAAAAACAGCAATCACGTGATATTTTTGTATGTGAAATTTACTTGCAACAATAGATTGGAGTAAAAAAGTTTGCATGCTCTCATTCTCTCCCATCCTTTGTTGATAAGAACAAGAACTCTTATTTGTTTTCCTCCAATAATTGATAGAAATCAATGATTTGTTTCATTCACTCTTTTAATATTCATATAGAGAGAGTCAAGTTACTGTTTATATTTTAATGGCCGTTTCCATTGTGACAACATGCTCACTATATATGGTGTGTTCAATTAGCTTTCTTTTTTCTGGGTAATAATGGTTGGTCACTGGCTTTTTGTTAGTGCTAAGATATTAAAATATGTGTCTATGACTTCTTTCATTCTCTCCCATCCTTTGTCACTCATTTAGTATTTATATAGAGAATTCAAAAGTTGTGTCATGGATTTCGAGATACAGTAATATAAGTATATGTAATCGTACAGAGACCAGGCTTATTTGAACTGATCAGTAGGTTTAACTGTGAACAATGCAGTTGTGTCAGAGGCAAGTGAAAATGATGTTTGTCTGAGGACAGAGTAATCATCCATGTCATTACTCCAAGGATGAAGAGACTGATGGGTCTCTATCATCTTTGCAAAACCAGTCTTGACTTTCTCTTCTCAAAGATGAAGCATAACCTCCGAGACCTCCAGGTCACCAGAGCAGACTGTATATATCAAGTCTTTTTTCAGTATTCTATGCAGAGTCCAATTTTCTATTAGAAAATCGTGTTGTAAATGGCACAGTGAGACATATACGCAGAAATCTGGAGCAGATCTGTTTTCTGGTGCAGTGAGATCCTATAGAATCACATGTAATGCTTTCAAATGTATGAATACAGATGGCTTGTATTAGATGTAATCCACATATCCATCAGTCAACGTTGAAGAATAAAAGATTTCACTGGCACAGCACAGATCAATCCTGACAATGCTAGGAACATTCAGCCACGTTAGCTCATACAGTATGTGGGGTTAGAACTGAAACCAAGCTAAAACTTGCTTAGGACTTATTGGAAATTTCTCATGAGTTTGTACAGGATGTGGGTTTTACATTTAAATTAGAACATCAGTCAGTACTGTATGATGCGGTAATAGATTTTTATTTATTTATTATTTTTATTTAAATAAGCATAAAAATACGACTATGATTGACAAATAGTTAATCTTTTTAAATGTAGTCAGAAATGAACATTTGATTTTTATCACATTACAGTAATAAGAATCAGTGAGGATGCAATGCAAAAAAATAAAAATCTAAAATATTTTTTACAATTATTTAAGATTAAAATTCCATTAGGCTATATAAAACATGTTCCGTGGTTATGTGACATTCACCCCATTAGACCTTCATTGATTGTTGTGTAAAACATGTTCTAAGTTGTCCTTATAACGTCAACTGTAGTGTGACGCTAGTAACTCCAAGGACATGGGTTAAATTCCTGAATGCATGAAGTGATTAATATATGCATACTGTATGTCTTGAATGCAATATAATTGCTTTTAGATAAAACGCCTGCCAAATTCATACAGTAAATGTAAGTCCACAGTTATTATATACTGCTAAAAATGCAGTTTAAAGCTCCAGTTTGGTTATGAATGGACCAGTGTAAACTGGTGATAAAGCATCTCGACAGCTCTGTGTAACTACACATGGCTGAAGGGCAAAACAAGAAGGTTATAGAGGAGGCAAGATGACACAGGTTACTGAGATAAAAGTGAGGCTGAGACACAAAGTAAGGACACAAGAGACTGTTTGACGATGGGGTTACATAAGATTACATGAAGAATTTGTCTTTGGGATTTGATCTGAACTTTTGCTCCAAACAAAACACTATATAATAAGATCTGTAGGTTAAAAGGAGACTAGCAAAGCCAGGAATGTGGGATATGGACTGATAAAATGAACCTTGAATGCAATGCATTTTACTTTGGATAAAAGTGTCGGCCAAATGCATAAGATAAATGCAGTGCACAATATGCATTAATATAAAACAATAAAAAATCCAAGTAAAATTCATATATAGATATAATACAGCATCTTGCATTTTCTCAGCAAATATGGAAGAATGTGTAAGTGATAGAGATGGATATAGTCAGCCAGTCATGATCACAAAATCAAAACACAGTATGTCATATATTTTCTGTCAAAATAAATAAATGGAAATTACATTTTAATGTAATACATGGATTAAGTTTAAATTATTTTAATGTGTGAGAATAAAGCGATTATAATACATGGCAAGACAAGCTGGAATGCTTGACAAAATATTTGAGCATATAGTGCAGCAGCTGACCAGTCAGAATCGAGAATTACCGATATAATTAGTGTTATACAAAGCGGGATGGTTAATAGCTACAATGTGCACATGCATTATCTTTCAAAAGTGTAGGGTCAGTAATAAGCGTTTCTTTTATTTCCACTTTCCACTTGTAGTACATTTAAGTGTACTAGTGTATGAAAGAAGGGTTTATGTGTACTACAAGTGGTAACTAAATACATTTCTAAAATACAGAGATAGTATGTTAAAAGCACATTTTAGTTCATATTCATGTTGTCCCAAAATAGCACAGTTGAGTACACTTAGATGATCTTAAGTTTTTCTTAAGAGGCACTAGAGAATAATTTTTACTATATTTAGTTCAAAATTAGTGTGTGAAAATAGAGCATTTTAAGTACATTACGGAAGTGCGTTTTTCATCTGGGTATGTATTTCTTCTTTTTGTCTTTCACATGCAGCAATTCTTTCCATTGTGGGGAATTTGATGGTTCTTGTGATGGCATACAAGCGGTCAAACCACATGAAGCCCCCTGAGTATTTGAGTGTAAATCTTGCTGTGACAGATCTGGGAGCAGCCGTCACCATGTACCCGCTGGCTGTAGCCTCAGCTTGGAACCACCATTGGATAGGAGGAGACATCACCTGTGTGTACTACGGCCTGATGGGATTTTTCTTTGGAGCAGCTAGCATGATGACCCTGACAATTATGGCTATTGTTCGATTCATTGTATCTTTATCGCTCCAGTCACCCAGTGAGTTCCCCTGGGCTCTATCTGTGGACCTATTTTTATTCAGACTCCTGCATTGATTTCTAATGAGTGGTACAGCCTCAGAGCTCCTGAGAGTTCAATTATCTTTTCTTACCATGTCAAAGTTCTGTTGAGAATGGCAATGGTGAACATTTCAGAGGTACAGACGTTTGTCTGATGCATGTTATCAGCTACAAAAATAAAAAACTAATCTAAAAACCTTAAAACAACTGTAAAAAGGATGATTTTAACAGCTTTGCACCTCAAATAATACACAATTTTAACTGAAAAATTAAGTCAGGTGCTTTTATAAAATGATGAGCTTCACATTTCTGCTCTAATCATAATCAGTTTTGTGGTAATCAATATTATGCCACAAATGCTGTTGATTGAGCTAATCTTGTACTAAACACAGAATATTCATTTGACCATACTTTTTAAATGGAATTGATAACGCTGAGACCCCAAACAGAACATTATCAATTTATTAAATGTATATAATACAGCCAATCATTTCTGATTAATTCCACTATAACATAACAAAGCAAGGTTTCTGTAATGATTTGACAGAGGGAGTGATCTGGTTTCAGCTCTGTAAGAGGTCATGTTCTCACTGAGAGCTGCTAGGGAGCTCTGTTACAGAAGATAGTTGTCATTTACACACAAACTCAACATGACAGTTCAGTAAAGCTAACTTAATAGAGTTTTTTGGCTGTCTCATGCTGGGCGACAAACACTGAATTATTGAAATGAAACTTGGCATGGGAATAACTGCTGTGGAGGGAAACAAATAGATTTCTTGTTTGTTCTTATTGCTAGACAAATGCTAATAAAGAGCTGGAAGAGATACCAACCCAGAATAACTCATTAAGTAGGCCCGTTAAATTAAACAACCACCCAGAAAACCCTAGAAAACATCCAGCAACCCACTGCCAATCACATGGAATGTCCTAACAACAATCTAGAAACCACATAGCATTGCCTAACAACCAACCGGAACACTTCACAGTCGCATCACAGTGGCTAATTTTGCATGAGCAAGCACTACTCATGTTTTCATAAAATGAAACAATCTATTATTCATGTTTGCATTTAGTGCCAGATGTCAGATTCAGCTTATTTGTGTATCTGTAATCTGGAAAAGCACACCTACAATGTGCTACAAAGGAAGTTTTAGGGTTTTGAAATTACTCCACTACAAAGATAAATATCTCTACAATAAAATTATCTAGAGTATCTATCAATAGAAATAAATAAATAAACAAACAAACAAAATAAAATAAAATAACAAGGAAAGACAAATATTCTCTGTTCTTTTAAAATAAAATAATTTGTTGTGGATCATCTGACCAAATGTGATCAAATCAAAAATATATGCTTGAGCATGAAAGTTATTGTTAAAACATGAAATTAAATGAAATGAAACAGTTATTGTTAAGTTATTTCTGCTTTAACTTTATTTTATACTTTTGTAAGTATTCATGTTTCGGACTTTCAAGCCACAGTCAGCCCACATGGTTCCATTCATTTGCTCCATTTTTGGAAACAAGAACAAAAGTATGGCACTTCATAAGCAAATTGCACATTTTGACAGCCACTAGCAGCAGGCATTCACGATACAAAAAGCAGCTCATAAATCAGATAGGAGGTGAAAATTGTCATACAAAACTAGATTATGTTAAATTATTCTTAAAGGAAGATAATAAAATGCTAAATATAAAATAAAAATAAAAGAGCAACATATAAAAACTGCTTATGCATTCAGATCCCCTTTATTTCAACTTTAACTGTCTGTTTTTTTTTTCCATAGAAGAGAAAATCAGCAAAAGGTACGCAAAGATCCTTGTGGTGACCACATGGCTGTACGCGCTGCTCTGGGCTATTTTTCCTTTGATTGGCTGGGGAAAATATGGCCCGGAGCCCTTTGGCCTGTCCTGTACTCTGGCCTGGAGAGACATGAAGGAACAGAGCCAGTCTTTTGTCATCACCATCTTCTTCATGAACCTCATCCTCCCAGCCATCATCATCATCTCGTGCTACTCTGCTATTGCTCTGAAACTATACATTACCTACAAGTTTATGGACGACAGCAACCACATCCCCAACATGATAAAGATGCAGCGGCGGCTCATGGTGGTGAGTCTGTTTGAGTTAATGTTCGCACCAGCTACACTGCTGTTATGAAATAAGATCTGTACATTATGTGCTTACCTGAACGTGATCTGAAACTCAAGAGCATCAGAGGCTTTCTAGCTGACGGCTTTATCCTCAATAACTCATACAAGACGTGTACAAAACAGCAAGACAGATGCAGATGCAATTATCCGAGTTACTAGTTATGTTTAGGTCACAGTGGCCAGGCATCAATTAGATACTTCTTTAAATATTAAAAAACATGTTTGCATATGAAATATTTAATCTTGATGTTTAAAACCTTGATGTTTTGTGGAACACACAAGATGTTTCGTACAAGATGTTTTCCAGGGTTTAGTGCATGCATTCAAACTTACTGCCTTAAACAAAAAGCTGCTTAAATCATTTCAGTTATTTAAATTATGCAAATTACGCAAAACATCAGAACACTGGAAAAACAATTTGCAAATAAAGAAGAGAAGAATCCGAATCAAGAGAATCCAACTCATCACTTCCAGGGAATCTGGCACTAATAAAGAAGCAAAAATGGAAGTTGAGGGAGTTTTGGGAAGAAACGGTCAATCGCCTGAGCAAATTATTTAGTCACATGATTTGCTGAGACACTGTTTTAATGCACACGTATGAATTTACGTGTGTTTCCAATGCTAGTTGCCAAAGCAGCGTTTCTCATTTACATGTAAAGTTGATGTACTAAAATAACTAAAATTGAATAAACAAAAAAATTAAAAACAGAGATATATTCAACAAGCTAAAAAACACACAAAATTATATGTATATATATATATAGAGAGAGAGAGAGAGAGAGAGAGAGAGAGAGAGAGCGAGAGAGAGAGAAGCTTCACATTATCTGAAGGTTGTTTAAAGACAGCGATGCATTCAGCATTCATATTGTGCATTGTCAATGTATTCACAAAGAGACTGCGTGACACAAAACAGCCACGTTGTTTTTGATGGTCATTATGTTTTTCCCTAACTTGCTTCCTAATCTTAATGTCTAACAAACCTGCACTGTAAAAAAATATCATATATGTAATGGTGAAAGACTATGGTAAAATCCTGTTAATTGGTGTACAGTAAGTTCCCGTACTCTATGATCTAATGGGGTATTTCATGTAATTTTACAGTAAAATATTGTTAGGCCAACATTTGTTTCTTCATGGGAACAGATTTGGAGAAATTGCTTCACTTGCTCACCAATGGATCCTCTGCAGTGAATGGGTGCCGTCAGAATAAGAGTCCAAACAGCTGATAAAAACATCACATTAATCTACAAGTAATCCACATGCCTCCAGTCCATCAATTAACATGAAGCAAAAAGCTGCGTATTTCTAGTTTTACATATGTATAGAGCATACAAACATCATCTGCCCCCAAAACAGATCTGAACGTGTTATTCTTTGCTTTTACAGATCGCTGTGTTGATCAGCATTGGGTTTGTCGGCTGCTGGGCGCCTTACGGCATCGTCAGCCTGTGGTCCTTCTACCGGCCCGGTGACTCGATCCCTCCTGAGGTCAGCATGTTACCTTGTCTGTTCGCCAAGTCATCCACTGTATACAACCCGCTCATCTACTATATCTTCAGCAAGACCTTTAAACAAGAAGTCAACCGCCTCTGCGGGAGATCCAACATCTGCTGTACATCTGATGCCAAAAACGGCCCGGAGAATGCCATCTACCTAGTGTGCGATGCAAACAAGTCCAAAGCTGGAGCAGAGGAACAATCAATAGAGAAGAGCAGGGAGAATGAGACTCAACTGATCAGTAGGACCTGTGATTTGCACTCTTAAGAGTGAATCGGTACAGAACACTGATAGTTGAAACTTTTGAGCTATTTTTGCCCGGTTGAAGGCACATGGAGTGGTCCATGGACTCTTGAATGAACCTTTCATTCCACAAGCTTCAATGCCACTCCATATCATCACATTGTATGGCATAGTGCATTGCTGTGTAACATTATCAGTGAGGTGTTTAGGTGTTATCTTTCATTATAAAAAAAGGGCATTTCGCTGACACATTCATTGCACTGTTTCAGCATTCTAATACACTCAAATACATGATCTTTATTCAAACAGATCGCCAAAAAATGAAAATTCTGCAAAACCCATATGACTTTCTTTCTCCCGTGGAACTCAAATAGAGATATTGTGCATCAGTTTAAGCTTATGCTTTTATTAGGTGCATGGTGATTTATACTCCTAAACTTCTCAACAGCCAAAAAACACAATTAAAGTATAATAAAACTAGTCCATATGGCCCATGTGGTATATATTTCAAGTCTTCAAGTTATATGATAGCTTTGTGGGAGGCACAAAGTGAAATTTAAAATTTGGTAAGCTTGTCAAAACTGATTTTTTTTTATTTTATATAAAGAGCTGGAAGAGATACCAACCCAGAATAACTCATTAAGTAGGCCCGTTAAATTAAACAACCACCCAGAAAACCCTAGAAAACATCCAGCAACCCACTGCCAATCACATGGAATGTCCTAACAACAATCTAGAAACCACATAGCATTGCCTAACAACCAACCGGAACACTTCACAGTCGCATCACAGTGGCTAATTTTGCATGAGCAAGCACTACTCATGTTTTCATAAAATGAAACAATCTATTATTCATGTTTGCATTTAGTGCCAGATGTCAGATTCAGCTTATTTGTGTATCTGTAATCTGGAAAAGCACACCTACAATGTGCTACAAAGGAAGTTTTAGGGTTTTGAAATTACTCCACTACAAAGATAAATATCTCTACAATAAAATTATCTAGAGTATCTATCAATAGAAATAAATAAATAAACAAACAAACAAAATAAAATAAAATAACAAGGAAAGACAAATATTCTCTGTTCTTTTAAAATAAAATAATTTGTTGTGGATCATCTGACCAAATGTGATCAAATCAAAAATATATGCTTGAGCATGAAAGTTATTGTTAAAACATGAAATTAAATGAAATGAAACAGTTATTGTTAAGTTATTTCTGCTTTAACTTTATTTTATACTTTTGTAAGTATTCATGTTTCGGACTTTCAAGCCACAGTCAGCCCACATGGTTCCATTCATTTGCTCCATTTTTGGAAACAAGAACAAAAGTATGGCACTTCATAAGCAAATTGCACATTTTGACAGCCACTAGCAGCAGGCATTCACGATACAAAAAGCAGCTCATAAATCAGATAGGAGGTGAAAATTGTCATACAAAACTAGATTATGTTAAATTATTCTTAAAGGAAGATAATAAAATGCTAAATATAAAATAAAAATAAAAGAGCAACATATAAAAACTGCTTATGCATTCAGATCCCCTTTATTTCAACTTTAACTGTCTGTTTTTTTTTTCCATAGAAGAGAAAATCAGCAAAAGGTACGCAAAGATCCTTGTGGTGACCACATGGCTGTACGCGCTGCTCTGGGCTATTTTTCCTTTGATTGGCTGGGGAAAATACGGTCCGGAGTCCTTTGGCCTGTCTTGTACTCTGGCCTGGAAGGACATGAAGGAACAGAGCCAGTCTTTTGTCATCACCATCTTCTTCATGAACCTCATCCTCCCAGCCATCATCATCATCTCGTGCTACTCTGCTATTGCTCTGAAACTATACATTACCTACAAGTTTATGGACGACAGCAACCACATCCCCAACATGATAAAGATGCAGCGGCGGCTCATGGTGGTGAGTCTGTTTGAGTTAATGTTCGCACCAGCTACACTGCTGTTATGAAATAAGATCTGTACATTATGTGCTTACCTGAACGTGATCTGAAACTCAAGAGCATCAGAGGCTTTCTAGCTGACGGCTTTATCCTCAATAACTCATACAAGACGTGTACAAAACAGCAAGACAGATGCAGATGCAATTATCCGAGTTACTAGTTATGTTTAGGTCACAGTGGCCAGGCATCAATTAGATACTTCTTTAAATATTAAAAAACATGTTTGCATATGAAATATTTAATCTTGATGTTTAAAACCTTGATGTTTTGTGGAACACACAAGATGTTTCGTACAAGATGTTTTCCAGGGTTTAGTGCATGCATTCAAACTTACTGCCTTAAACAAAAAGCTGCTTAAATCATTTCAGTTATTTAAATTATGCAAATTACGCAAAACATCAGAACACTGGAAAAACAATTTGCAAATAAAGAAGAGAAGAATCCGAATCAAGAGAATCCAACTCATCACTTCCAGGGAATCTGGCACTAATAAAGAAGCAAAAATGGAAGTTGAGGGAGTTTTGGGAAGAAACGGTCAATCGCCTGAGCAAATTATTTAGTCACATGATTTGCTGAGACACTGTTTTAATGCACACGTATGAATTTACGTGTGTTTCCAATGCTAGTTGCCAAAGCAGCGTTTCTCATTTACATGTAAAGTTGATGTACTAAAATAACTAAAATTGAATAAACAAAAAAATTAAAAACAGAGATATATTCAACAAGCTAAAAAACACACAAAATTATATGTATATATATATATATATATAGAGCGAGAGAGAGAGAAGCTTCACATTATCTGAAGGTTGTTTAAAGACAGCGATGCATTCAGCATTCATATTGTGCATTGTCAATGGATTCACAAAGAGACTGCGTGACACAAAACAGCCACGTTGTTTTTGATGGTCATTATGTTTTTCCCTAACTTGCTTCCTAATCTTAATGTCTAACAAACCTGCACTGTAAAAAAATATCATATATGTAATGGTGAAAGACTATGGTAAAATCCTGTTAATTGGTGTACAGTAAGTTCCCGTACTCTATGATCTAATGGGGTATTTCATGTAATTTTACAGTAAAATATTGTTAGGCCAACATTTGTTTCTTCATGGGAACAGATTTGGAGAAATTGCTTCACTTGCTCACCAATGGATCCTCTGCAGTGAATGGGTGCCGTCAGAATAAGAGTCCAAACAGCTGATAAAAACATCACATTAATCTACAAGTAATCCACATGCCTCCAGTCCATCAATTAACATGAAGCAAAAAGCTGCGTATTTCTAGTTTTACATATGTATAGAGCATACAAACATCATCTGCCCCCAAAACAGATCTGAACGTGTTATTCTTTGCTTTTACAGATCGCTGTGTTGATCAGCATTGGGTTTGTCGGCTGCTGGGCGCCTTACGGCATCGTCAGCCTGTGGTCCTTCTACCGGCCCGGTGACTCGATCCCTCCTGAGGTCAGCATGTTACCTTGTCTGTTCGCCAAGTCATCCACTGTATACAACCCGCTCATCTACTATATCTTCAGCAAGACCTTTAAACAAGAAGTCAACCGCCTCTGCGGGAGATCCAACATCTGCTGTACATCTGATGCCAAAAACGGCCCGGAGAATGCCATCTACCTAGTGTGCGATGCAAACAAGTCCAAAGCTGGAGCAGAGGAACAATCAATAGAGAAGAGCAGGGAGAATGAGACTCAACTGATCAGTAGGACCTGTGATTTGCACTCTTAAGAGTGAATCGGTACAGAACACTGATAGTGGAAACTTTTGAGCTATTTTTGCCCGGTTGAAGGCACATGGAGTGGTCCATGGACTCTTGAATGAACCTTTCATTCCACAAGCTTCAATGCCACTCCATATCATCACATTGTATGGCATAGTGCATTGCTGTGTAACATTATCAGTGAGGTGTTTAGGTGTTATCTTTCATTATAAAAAAAGGGCATTTCGCTGACACATTCATTGCACTGTTTCAGCATTCTAATACACTCAAATACATGATCTTTATTCAAACAGATCGCCAAAAAATGAAAATTCTGCAAAACCCATATGTTGTTTTAATGGATCGTTCCTGTTAGAGCTCAGGCTCAAAATCAGGCACAAACATTTAAATTATTTACAATTTAAGTTTACAGGGTGAGTATGAAATCAAAGAGCTAAAATAAGCCTTTGCTCAAAGAGAAATTGACTGTTAGCTTTCATGAGGATGTTCAATTTTGATAAGAGCTGTAACTGCTGTAGGCTACTTTTTGACAATTTTATATAGTATTATAAACCCAATTTCTGTAATATTATTAAACAGGATGAAATGTTTGAGAGTGAGGCTGACAACTTTTTTTGAGCAATGTTTCCCATTGAGAATGGGTAACTAATTTCTATCTAAATACTTTAGATGGGTCGTGGGCCCTTTGTCTCACCTGGTTGCCTGTTGACGGCAACATTTCCCAAAGTTGCACGGGAACATTGCTCAAAAAGTTGCCCTGTGTATCATCAGCCTGACACAAACCAACCAATAGGCTACCACAAAATATCAAACATCCCATCTATTGCTAATACATATGCTGTGAAGTTCTCCTGCCAAAAATGATGCCACTTTCTGTAGAAATGTACCATTCATAATTTTATTTTTTTTAAGATTGTACAAAAGACGTACAGGATGGAAACTAATAAAACACCCTAAATTGCTAGGTTAAAGAAAACATAAAAAATATCGTAGGCTACCATTTCATCACAACACCCTCACAAACAAATGTTTGTATTCATGTCACTACAGCAAAAGGTTGTTTTTTTTTTCTTTCACTGATGACAAATACCAGTATTCATTCGGTTTGTTTTGAAGCACTGAAGTGATTGCACACGGTCAAGGCTTATTACATTTTACCATGTGAACAAATGCAGATAGTGCAAATATTATTTAGAAGTATTTTTGGCTAATACTGTCAAAACATGGACGTGAATGTACATTTAACGTGTTTTTTATTTTTAAATATGGTTTATCATATTTATTATTTTTCTTTGCATTATTTCTTAAAGGGGTCATATGATGTGATTTCAAGTTTTCCTTTCTCAAAAGCATAATATGACCCCTTTAATTTAAACAGAAAATGGGGCCTGATGCTGGATTTCTAACATGTTTTCAGGTAAGTACTTCACATCCAAAACCCAAGCAGCAGGGTACAATCATTTTGCATTACATTCAAAATAAAATCTAAATCAAGATCTAAAGCTTAACAAAGAAAGAGGTGGGCAAACTTAGCTTTTTCTTCGTTTTGTTTAGATCTCAATCTTGTGTGACCAGTTTGTGTTTACATTACATTACAGAAAACAGAACTATAACCATCTGACCATTCCCCACATGTGATTAATAAACTGAAAAACACTATACAATAAAGATAAAAACAGCATGCTCTCCCCCTCTGTTATTATATCTGAGTGTTTCAGATTGAAGTGTTTGATAAACATGCTGGCTCACTGCATTCAATCTTTGCTTGGCATCAGAGAAAATCAAAGAGTCATCAAAGACATTAAAGAGTCATGTCAAAAGCTACTGGTGTCATAGGGAAATTTAATAAGCCTATATTCGGAATAGTTGTTTTCACAATAGTCCTTAAAATTTCTGATTAGTTATGTACAATACACTCCAAGTACAAAACTTTCACTGGGTTGGTTCTCTTTCAAAAGGTACTAATAAATACCTTTAAGGTACTAATATGTGTAAGCAAGGTACAACAATGCCCTTTTATATATATATATATATATATATATATATATATATATATATATATATATATATATATATATATATATATATATATATATTTGAATAAAAAGTGTTAATGAGCTCCGGCTGCCTGTAAGGGAACATGTTTTAATACTTTATTGGCATTATTGCAGAAGACCGTGTTATGAGGACTGCAGCAAGCGAAGGCAAAGAGTCATGTCTGTAATTTCAGTCACAGCAGGAAAGAGGAAATATGAGGAAAAACCATGGATGATACGATTTTTCATTTTATACTGACCTAGATCTGTCCATGCAATGCCACGACAGAGTTTCACACCACTAATTCTCGCCTTCCTCACGTCACATGATGTTTCGATTACACTCTCTTTAATATTAGCCACTGGGCTGCAACACATCACACCGCATTGCTTCGAACCACATCCATGCTTAAATATGTCCTGCGTTCATTACACTCAACTTTCCGTTCAGTCAACTGTTTATAAAACATACTTTTTTTTTAATAGATCTAATGCGTAACTATAAAACACAAATAATGTGATAATTAATACAGAGCTAATGATTTGTGTTAATTATAATGTTCATTTAAATAATAAATATACGCACTTGTAAATACTTATATATACAAATGGGTCCTAATGTATCAACTCAATCAGATATCCCTGTCAAAATATAAAAAATTTTTGTCATTTTTTCCTGATGAAAAAAAAATACATAAGTGAAAAAGATAGCCAAAATATAGAATGTCATGAATATTTATAGAGTAATCCACTATTCTTTTAGAGGGTGGTCACAAAATTGCAATTTTTACCTGCACTTTAGAGCCACATTACATGAGAGAAAAATGACTTTAAAAAATATGGCAGCATCATTGTGTTATTTTTACAGTGAGATTGCACCGCATTATTACCGACCTTATTGTACAGCATTAACAGAAGAGAAAGAAGGAAGAAAAAAGATTTAGGGTCAGATAAAACTGTACATACACAACAGAGAATATAAAACAATATGAAACTATGTATCCCTTCATGGTTAATACCGTTTATCATATGGGTGCAGCAGGGATGCTGGGAACTCAAAAACAGAAATGTTAATAAAGCAACAAATCATTAAGCATGCATCAAAATGTTCACTTAAAATATATGAAAACCCATGTAGAGTTACAGGGAAAAGTCAAGGGTGACACTTCCCACAAAATTTTTCAGCTTACAAAAGACTGGTAATAAAGATCAGCATTAAAGGGGTCATATGATGCCATTTCAATTTTTCCTTTCTCTTTGGAGTGTTACAAGCTCTTGGTGCATAAAGAAGATCTGTAAAATCCATCAGCTCCGATTCATAATGCAAGTTGAAACTTTCAATAAGATCTGGATATTTGAATTTGAATGATTAATCTCTGCTGCAGAACCCATTGCCCCACGATCTGTGCATTACCATGACAATCAGAGCTTACACCGGTGAAGATGACCCTCACTCGCATGTGCTCACCTCTAACCATCACTCTTCCACAGATAACAGGTTTATCCAGCTAAAATAACTCCCCATTGAGGAGGTGTGCGAGCGCTCGACTAATGGCCGGTATTGACAGCAGCACTCATAATCCCCTCTGAAAGCCTTTTTTTTAAAGGCTTGATTCTAAGAACTAAGATTTTCTTGAAGACTAATTTTAAAACTGGGTTGACTGGGTTTCACAATGAAATATCAAAGTGCTTGAACACCAAACAATGACTGCAATTATTTATCACTGTATATTTTGTGCTATAGAATATATAGTACAATCACAATTTACCTGAAAATTACTGATTCCTAGTGTGATTCAGTGAAGCCAGGATAGAAACTGAAAAATAAACCCAAAACTACGAGCAGTGACAGAAATGTACTTTTCGATTAAGGGGTGACATTTGCTGTCTTAAACAGATTTCCAGGGTAATTTTAAAAAATATGTATTTTACAGCATTTTATAAGGGCAGCTTTTTAACTTTTTTTTTATTTTTCCACCCGCTTTTATTGAATACATGCAATTCCAATAATGAGACACTATAGGGCTGTTACCAATCAAACGAAATCAGTAACTACAAGGTGGCACAGACGCTGCATCTGAAGTGGCATTTAGAAGTATTTACACAGTAGGTTTAATGCAGCTCGGAGATGCAAGGAATGCATTTACACTGCAGCTACACTTGCATAAATAATGTTATGAGACTAATGTTTTAAACATAAAATATTATGAACACAGAAATTTGAAATGTTGGGGGTAATAAATGAAATGACACTATAAATATGAAATAGCATAATATGCTATAAATTATGAATTGGTCACCAAATCATTGACTCGCCTGATTAATCATACTTTTCAGTGACTTAATTCATTTTTTTTTGTGAATTCAGTGAAAAGAGTAATGTATGTGAATCCTCTTTTAAAGATGTTGATTTTATGTTTGTACACAAATATGATACATAGGATTTGATGCTTCCTAAATGCTGCTTTGTTTAAACACAAAGACATCCAAATATTAATATTAACTATCTTTTCCCCAAAAGAATTGTCTCTGGGAAACCACTAGTTAAGAAAATCAGGGTCTTTACCCATTTTTAATTTGTGTTACTTTAAGTAAAAAAAAAAAAGCAAAGTTTACCACTGAATTTTCAAGGTTGCATTGCTGTTACAATCAAGAATGCATGTACTTTGCCTTTCTTGAGGAGCCATCCACAAAAGACAGAAGAATGAAATCTGGATGTGTCCACTATAGCATTTCTTTGAGAATCTCTAGTTCCCATTCAGTCAGTCACGTTCAACGTTACGTCAGTGACATATTCTACATCTCACTAACCCCTTGTAACCCAAAGTACACAAAAATGCATATTTTGCACTTGCAGTTGCTTTGGCCTCTATGCCATTTTCCCAATAAGCTAGAAAATTCATTAGGTCACAGATACAAAAAATATGTATAATATATATTCATCATTTACTGAAAGTGATCTGTTCTGTATA